ACAGTAAGTCCTCACTAACCTACCTTTTTTAAAAAACCAGTGGCGTACCATTTTTTTTCTTCAATAATATTTAGTTTAAATACCGTAGGGACGCCACTGATGAAAATAAAAAATAGTTAATAGCATCAAAAAAATGTCACTTTATGGTAAAACAACGTGTACCAAATTTCATTAAATTATCTTCAGTGATATGAAAGATATGATAAAAAAACGATTTTTTTTCTTAAAACTTTAACACCCTATATGAAATCCATCCATTTCCGGACACATGTATAGTTCAAAGAATAATTTCCTGAAGTTTGTCAAAGTACTTATGAATCACCCTGTATATTTTTAAAAATGACTGTAAGTCTGTCCTAATTCCTATTTTTTGACAACCCCGATATGGTAAAACATTTGCTTCAAGTGATAAAACTTTTTATTTACCTAAAATCTAGTATTATATTTTGAGAACTTACTCAATTGTCGACGTTGGCCTGCGTTCACCTGCTGCTACTATTTGTTCCACGCTTTCGATACTATGCGAAAATCGACAAGAAAATAGCGAAAAACGATGTTTTTATGAAATTTAAAACTTGTCAACAAAAAAGAAATAAATCTCGCGAGAAATCCGAAATTTGAAACAGTCTGACAACAGCGCGGAAGCCTAATCCCGACAGCTCGCACCGAGCTACGCGCTAGAAGCGTAACGGCGAAACGGACACGAACTCGCGTAGACGAAGCACGATCGATATCGATGCAATTGATCTGTTAAATGTTGAAACAATATGGCGATTTTAAAATAATCGATCAAAGCTTTTTATTAAATACTGAAATTGAGTATTATTATACAAAAATAAATAGCACACAACACGAAACGATCATATGAACAGTCAATTGTACTTACTGCAGGATACACCGATGAACTTTGCTAAGCTTTAGCGATTCCCAAATACCAGTAATGTTTTTTAACATAAAAACACTAAAATCACGGGCACGACACACTTAAAAATCACAGTCTCGAGCTGAGCGACGGTTTTAACAGGAATAGAGTTTATTCTGTGATTTTAAACATAAATAAATTACTTAATTTGAACAGAGTTAGCTGTTACGCTGTTACAAATTCAAAAACAATACAACTACTATTTCTGTCATCGGTTTCGGTATCCGAAGAGCCGAGGCAATACGATTAGCTAGGTGACGTTTTAACAGGACCGTATCCAGCATTGGTAATTGATATGACCATATGTGAAACGCAGCGAAATATCAAAGAATTTTGAAATGAGATTTCTATAACCTTGAACTTTAAATGGGTGTGGCATAAGTTTTGCCAATTTTAATTATTTTCAGTAATTCTTGATAAATATGATTTGCTTCTAAATATGCTATCTAGATGACAGGGTTGGTTTAAGTAATTAATGATTGATTCTGATGTTTGAAAAATTGTCGATGGAAGTTATTAAAATTAAAAAAAATTGATTTTTAAAAACAAATGGGGTTCAAAAGGAATGGTATACTATTTGTATTAATATTTGCAGAAAATAATTTAAGGAAAACCAAAAACGCCTTTTATTAGAAAAAAGACGAATTGTTATGTAGAATTGATACTCATAAATCCAACTCCTTGGAGCCTAGTAAGAAATATGATCGAGTAACACATCATTTGAAAGGTAATTTTATAAATAATATAATAATATGATTATTCATTGTGTTACTTTTGATTTTAATACCCTCTATGGAGATAAAAACTGTTATATATTGTGAATTGTGACACTTCATTTGAAAGCTAGTTTTATTAGTAATTTATTATACAATTTAATAAAAAATTAACTTATATAATTTACAAATCATCAGATTGACCAGATGGAGATTCGACATCTAATAGAGGGTATGCCACGACGCATTGAGGCAGTTATTCGCGCTCGTGGGTGAAATACCCGTTATTAATTTGTAATAATTAATAGTTTATTTGTTGTTTGATTTGTTTATAAAATTATGTATTACTCTGCTAAAACTAAATAAAAAATTAAGAATGTTGCATTTTCTTTAAACCGTCACATTTCGCAAACAAATTAAGATATCGGGGTAAATAAAAAAACAGAATGTTGCAAACAAATCAGTCTTCTTGATAAAGTTAATTGTGTGCAGATCTACTAGCAGAATTAACCTACAGGGTGTGTCAAAAGTAGAGGAAAAATTGTTTTCTTTTCCCCCCTGTATATACGGCGAGTACTAAATTACTTTTAGATGTCCGAATAATAATCTTAAAACTACAGTATTTTATCTATGTAGGAAATTCACTGGTGTGGCTTGTTAAAAAGTCTAAACGTCTTTAATAATAACTTTTAATATGAAATTGCAAATAACAAAATAACGTCTTAATTACATTCAATCACATACTTTGATTTGCATTCAATCATATATGACACTTTCATGTCCTGTCATCAACTTGAATAATCAGTAGCGTAGCTTGGATCCCACATCTAAAAGTTGCTGAAAACTTCAAATAAATCTGCCTCCGCATTTGAAAGTTAGAGCATTTTTAAATAAATCATTATTTGGAATGGATCGAATTTTAAGTCGGTGAGTGTATTATCTACCTTTTGACGGCGATTACTTAAGAAAAATTTAAAGAATCTAAAGGAAATATCAAAACCATTAATAGTTTAGTTTAGCGCACAATAAGTAGTGGTCAAGAGTATCAAATGCTTTCGAAAAGTCTAATTGTGTCAATGCTGTAGTCAGCATTTTATTATGTGGTCACTGGCATTTAATAAAAGGGTAGTTATACTAAATCCCTTTATGACACCAGACTAAGTATTACCAATAATACCATTTGTAAAAATATGCTCGTACACTTGCTTACTAATAATTTTTTCAAGAATTTTTGAGAAGTTTGGAAGAATACTTATAGGACGTAGATAGCTAAAACTTTCAGGATTTCGAATTTTAGGTAAGGGTTTCACTAAAGCAAATTTCCAAATATCAGGGAAATCACCACGTTCTAAACAACAATTTACGATATGTGTCAGAAAAAGTGCGATTACATTTAGACAAAGTTGTAGCATTTTAGCGAATATACTATCACTATCAACTGCATTTGATTTGAGATTTATAACAATTTGTATTATTTTGTCAACAGTAGCAAGACGAAAAAAAAACGTATATCAGGTTTAAATTTAAATGAGTTATAATAAAGAGTGGATAATGGGCAGGCATTTCTAGGGGTAAAAACCGATAATATATTTTCAAAAGGCATACTTAATAGGTCTCTATTTAAACTATCATGTGAAAAATACCAAAATTAATTATTTCAATTGCTGATAAAGATTATGGGGCAGTGGAAGATGTCGTAAATGAAGAGGAACAGAATACTCGAAAAGAAAAGCTCCAGAATATCTTAAAAAAAACAATGTCAGTTAAAATTAATTTAAAAATAATCACAAGAGGGCAACATTTAAATCCGTTATGGCATCAGGAACGACAGTATAGGCTGACTGCATCTAATTTTGGAATGATTTGTAAATTGCGAGAAACGACGGATCGTCTTACAGTAGCAAAGAAAATGTACAGAACAAGACATACTGGTAATAGAGCGATATAGTCAGGACAATGAAGTCACAGCAATTCGTGCATTTGAGGACTTGACAGGTTTAACTGTTATACCTTGCGGCTTATTCATTGGAATTGAAGAAGAATATTTCCTAGCTGCTAGTCCAGATGGTTTAATTGAAGACGACAACAATTCTACTATTGAAGTGAAATGTCCCTTTGTCCTGAAAAGCTGCTCAATAGAATAAGGAGCAGCTGTAAAGAAAATTAAATTTCTTGCCTATGATGAGGAGAGGTTGTTGTATTTAAAAAACACCCATCCGTATTACTACCAAATACAAGGGCAGCTACAACTTTCAGGCAAAGAATATTGTTATTTTATTGTCTGGTCTCTTTTAGACCCTATCCATGTTGAAGAAATTTGCAGAGATGATGAGTTTTGGAAGAACAAAATGTATCCTATTATTATTACGATGCTTATTTAAAAGAAATAATTAAAGATGTCATATAACTTCTATGTGGTTTTTGAAATTCCTATGTCCTATATTATACCGTATATAATTAAATTTATATAATATACATAACTTATGGTAGCAATATATTGAATAAAAATCTTAAACAGATAGGTAAAAATGATGTGCTATAAAAGAGAATAATGTCTAATATATTTAAAATGCATGTTTAATTTTTTTGGTCATTTATAAACTGAAATCTTTCGGTAAGTTTTACTTATTTCAGTGTACAAACGAAAAAAAAAAAATAAAAAAAGCAGAAAATGCGTTCTTTAAAAAAGTAAATATCTACTGGCAATAGGGAAATTAAGGAGAATGCACCACTCACAAAAAGTCGCGTATCTTCTTTATTTGTGAAAATTAAACTGCACATGCTAACATTTTTTAAAAGCAAAAGAACTCAGCTTTCGAATGGTTTAAAAATATACATAATACATATAAGTTAAGTTATTTTTAGTTGAAAATAGGCAAATTTTTTCCTCGTTCTGTATTTGTACAAAATCAAATATTAAGTCATCTTCTTGCTTTATTTATTCTATGCTGAAAAGAGAGCAAGGAAATATTTTTCTGTAAAAAATTATACAGTCTACAAATTATCAGATCACTACAACAGCAGACAGCAACAAAATCAAGAAAAACTTGTAAGTAAAACTATTTTTTCCACGTTTCATTCACAGATAAGTCAGAAAACATGTAAATTATTAATATATTAAGAAACATTTGTTAAATACATTATTTTTAAGGCTGATTTATAGATTTTATTATATTAGTAGCTTAGTTGATATTCTTCGCCAAATGAATTATTTTAGAAAATATAATATATACGTACTATAAAAATATAATTCTATTTTTAATACAAATTTCCTGCTATTGTCATCGGAGCAATAACTCTTCAGTCATTATTATAATATACAAGATTAAATTTAACTCCTCAATTAATTTAAAACGAGCTCTTACCTTTTTACAGTAGTTAAGAATGTCCATCTTGTCCTTGTAGCATGTCGCCTTCGAATAAAGGTCCGACACCCACTCTCCCTGCTCCGTCATATACTTAGGATGATACGCCTCTTGACCGTGCATCCCCGAATCGCACAACATGGCCACCTGTGGTTCGAAATGGGATACGGCGCCGCCGTTACTGCCCCCCAGACCGCCATTATCCTGCAGACCCAGACCCTGAAACAAGAACAAATAATTATAAGTGCGGTTAGAGCTAGAAACATAAGCGTAGGTAATTGTCCTATTGTAGAGGAATGTACTTTGTTAGTTAAAGAATAGATTCTGTAATTATGTGCTAACATTGCTATAGTTTCTAAATCATAACAAATACGAAGAATATAAGTGTTAAAAATACATATTTTTGACTGTAAATAAAAACTGAATACGCCTCTGTGCAGACACGAGCCCTTAGTAATAAAATATTATTCAAAATGTAGTCACATCGGATGAAACCAATAATGAACAAAATAATCGTGATGCCAACTTTAATACAGGTGTTCAAACAATTACATCACCCGATATCACGCCACGTAACTTTCATTGGTCCGATTCTAGACAGAGCGTGACTTAACAAGTCGCGCCAGCGACTCTACAAGAAAGAAACTTTAAGAATTATTTTTTTTTTATTTATTCCATTATTTTCATTCAACTAGCTCATTCCGGCCTGAGTTGAAGGAATGTCATAGTGTGCATAGTATGCAAATAAAATAATTTTAAAAAATATTGTAAGTACATTGTACAATAAAATACACAAAAATGAAATAAATAATTTTGTTAAGTATACTATACACCGATTGGAATAGTGGCTCTCTAAGAAAAACCTTTTACCAAAGTCTCAATTTGGTTTTAGGAAAGGATACGGCACATTAGATGCACTCACCACTCTTGTCACTGATGTTCAGCATACTCTTTAAAATAATAAATTCTGGTAGCTCTCACAACGATTTTAATTTAAAAAATACAAACTGCAAAAATCAGAGAAGCTTCCAAAAATTCCACAAAAAAATCTAATTGTCATAATATTAAACATAAACATTGGCAACGTTGCGGTGAGCGATCTGCCGCTGACGCCATCAAGCTAGAATCGGCTAGAAACGACCAGCCGGACCAGCGCGTTAGTGTTCGAAAACGATCAGGATTGCTTTGAACGGGATAAATACGCACGGCGCGGCGACATTGCGCTTAGTTTAAAACTGAACGCGTAACCAACGTCCAGCGGTTGGGTTAGTAGAGAACAACAAAAAATAATATTATGGCAAGCAGTTGTTAGAAGGTAAAGACATACCACTTTAATTAGGAATGGGAAGAACAATACCTTTTTACAGAAGTTAAAGATAAAAAAGTGTGTTTGTTATGTAATACTTCGGTCTCCGTTGCTAAAAAAGGAAATATTGAGAGAAATCATAAAACTGTACATTCTAATTTTGAAAAATCACTCCCACTACATTCTGCCGCCAGAAAGAAGAAACTGAAACAGTTAAAAAAGCAGTTAATTGGACAACAATCAATATTTTTAAGAACAGTCGACAAAAATAAGGCTGCAACTGAAGCATCGTACCGTGTGTCCCGGATAATTGCACAAAACAAGAAACCTTATGAAGACGGGGAAATGATAAAACAGGCGTTTTTAGAAGCTGCTGATTCGTTATTTTCCAACTTTAGAAATAAAGACGAGATAGTTTCAGCTATAAAATCTATGCAACTTTCTGCTAATACAGTGATGAAGCGTGTAGAAGTAATGAGCAATGATATTTTTTTACAGTTAAGAACTGACTTAGATAACTGTGTTTATTTTTCACTTCAACTGGACGAATCAACAGATGTCGTTGATACTGCCCAGATGGCCGTGTTCGTCAGGATGGTTTTTAGTGATTTTACGAATAAAGAAGATCTTTTGAAGTTTATTCCACTGAAAGGACACACTATTGGACAGTTGTTTTCTCATTTAAAAAATATTATTTCTTCCGAGAAAATTCCAATATCGAAAATGGCTTGACAACCGATGGCGCTCCAGCTATGGTGGGTTGTGATAAGGGTCTGGTGGCGTTATGTCGTAAAGATGAAACTTTTCCGCAATTTCTCTGTTACCACTGCATTATCCATCAGCAAACATTATGTGGAAATTTCCTGAAACTAAACAACGTTATGAAACTGGTGGTAAAAATTGTGAACAAGAATACAGCTCAAGCGTTACAAAGAAGATTATTCAAAACCTTGGCCGATGAAGTTGACTGTCAATACGGGAACCTACTCCTTCACTCTGAAGTCCGATGGTTAAGTAGAGGACGGGTGCTGAAACGTTTTAATGATGTCCTATCTGGCATAGTTCAATTTTTCAAACAACGCGATGAATCGACTCCGGAACTAGAAAATTCAATCTGGCTGGAGATTTTGGTTTTCTCGTGGACATTCCAGAGAAATTAATCGAACTTAATTTGCAGCTTCAGGGGAGAGACAAAGAACTAGCGGAAATGATTTCTGATATAAAAGCATTTATCAAAAAGCTGTAGTTTTGGGAACAAAACCTAATTAACAGCGATGCCAAGCATTTTCCTATTCTTTCAGAAAAAATATCTCAAAATCCATTAGAACCCTATGACAACAAATATCATGTAGAAATAGTTTCTACCCTGAAGAATAACTTCAAAAATCGTTTTAAGGATTTCAACGAAATGGCTTTAGTAGCGCAGTTTGTTGTTTCACCCTTTATGGAAATTGATATCAAACAGTTTGCAACTTGTGTTATGCAGAACTTTGGCGAAGACATCGTTGCAACAGAAATGGAAGTAATTGAGTTTCAAAATGATTTAGCCTTAAAATCGTTAGTCTCAAGTAATAATAATAATAATACTCTCCCTAATTCACCCCCTTACGAGTGAATTTTAACCCCAAAAGCTGAGCTTGTCTGGGGAAAGGGACGGCTATTATTATTATTTGCCGTGGCGCTCCGGGGCGACTTAAAGATGATTGATGGTGCCATTTGACTTACAGGTGAGGAAAACCCGGAAAACCTCACCCACCATTATCGAGACGGTAATGTATGGCGAATTTTTTTAATCTGCATGTCATATCAACAGAAATTGTATTTCTATTAATACGCCACACATCAAATCCTAAACCGAACCATGCAATTTAATTAAAAATCCACATGGTCTGGTCTGGGATTCGAAACCCAGCAGTCTCAGACTCATAAACTTGCCTATAAATGAATATAAGCGCGATAGACCGCTACACCACCGTGCCCGATAAGTACCAAATGAATCTGGCCTATTGTAAGTAAAGACAAATATTCAGTTCTATGCCGTGTTGCCTTGAAAGTGAAAGCATTATTCAGTTCAACCTATTTGTGTGAATCTTCTTTTTCCAATATGAAGTTTATTAAGAACAAATATCGCAATCGACTTACATATGAACATTTGGATAATTGTATTCGAATGGCTGTATCAAATTATACTGCAAACATTAAAAAAATTATCGATGAGTCTGAGTGTCAGCCTTCTCATTGAACGTGCTTTTTTATTTTTCAATGTTTATGTTCATGATAGTGCGTTACTTTTTTGTTGTTATTATTAACTATTTTTAAATCTTACGTGACATGCCGTTGTGGCTGGATAAAAGTTTGTGTTTATTTTTCAAACATCTTCGTTTGGTAGGTAGGTAGGTAGGTAGGTAGGAATGTAGCTATGAACAAGTACGTACTAGTAATATTAGTTATTTTGTTATTAGTTTATTATTAGTACCTATGTATTATGTATTACCAGTTAAATAGTAAAATAAATACATATAACAATAAATTAACTGTGGATTATTTTATTTACGTTGCGTGGCTTCCGTGTGGGTAGCTCGCTGTTTATTCCAAAATTAACAAAGTAGCTCAACACATTGAGAGGTTGGCGACCACTGGTTTAAGCGATTGCCACTTGTGACGTCAGTATACTAACCCCTTCCATACATTCACGCAATAACCAAGAAATTTTGTGGTAAACATCAAGAAAATTTGGTATTTCACTTAAAATTGCTTTTGGTAACAGTAACGCGGTTACTTTGATGACGTAAATATGTCAAATTTAATTTGAACTGAGGGATTTCTAAACCAAATTTGATTTATACGAAATTTTAGGAAGTTTTATCTAAAATAAAGAATCCCCCAATAAAAAAGGACACAAAGTTTTATTAAATGCATTAATGATAAAGGTTTACGATTTGTTTGACTACGTTCATGAATAGAGAAGGATAGAGATGGAGATAGTGGTGTTAGAAATGAATTCAGAAGTGGAATGATTGTGGTCAGAGTGGGATTGTGGAATTAGGGGACGATTACGGTTGAAGGGCGAAATGAGAAGATTATAAAAAATCGGAAGGGATCAGTTTAAAGCCGATAGAACTATTCGTTTGGTATCATATAACCAAGACAGTTTAAATGAAATAAATAGGAATTTGAAGATATGTGTCAAATATTATATATTTCTAATTAAAAAAATACTAGAAATTGTTTTTTTAGTATTAAAAACTTTATTTTACGTCAAAAATTTGAGCAATTAATATTAAATAACGAAAAATATCAATAGAAAAACACTGAATTAGTTGTGACAAGTATTAAAATGTTAAATGAATTCAAAATAATTTGATTTATATAAAAAAATAGACAAAAAACTTATTTAAATAAAAAATAAACAGTGCAAAAAGCTAAAATAGCAAAACATCGAGGAAAACAACGAAAAAAGTGTGAATATATCGCATTGGCATCAGTCTAGACCGATGAATACGTCCCAAATCAGTTTCCTAGCCCTGTCTTTAAAACCTGATTTACCTATGCTTACTTTTTGTGAAAAATAGTAAATGTGACAATGGGGATGAAATTAGATAGTTATTTGAAGAAAAATTTAGAGTTAAAAATTTCAAAAGTTTTTTATTAATTTGACACGAAACACCTGATTCCTTTATTACAACTGAACTTCTGCTATTATTTATCGCATTATCTCAATAGATTGAATGGTACACTTTGTTATTTAAATTTGGTGATTCTTTGGTGAAACATCAATTTTGAAATTAATTCTGGAATTGTTTGCAGGTGTGTTAGTTTTATTATTACTTTTTTTTGGAAGTAGTATCCTTTTATATCCTTTGCAATTTCCTTTGGAGAGGTTGGTTTGATGATTGGGTAGACCGTAGAGATA